GCAATCCATACAAAGAAACCAAAACAAATACATTTAGAAATTAAGTTACTATATATATATATACTATATATGTAATAAAATGGAATGACACAGGGGGAAATTATTGAACACGCTAACTGAAATGTATTTAATACTTCGTACAAAATCCTTTGTTGGTAATGACAGCTTCAAGACGCCTCCTGCATGGAGAAACTAGTCACGTGCATTGCTCAGGTGTGATTTTGGCCTATTCTTCCACACAAAGTTTTCAAATCTTGAAGGTTTTGTGAGCCTCTTCTATAAACTCTGATCTTTAGTTCTTTCCATAGATTTTTTTATTGTATTCAAGTCAGGTGATTGGCTGAGCCATTCTAGCAGCTTTATTTTCCTTCTTTGAAACCAATTGACGGTTTTCGTGGCTGTGTGTTTGGGATCATTGTCTTGCTGAAATGTCCACCCTCGTTTCATGTTCATCATCCTGGTAGATGGCAGTAGATTTTTATCAAGAATGTCTTGGTACATTTTTCCATTCATTCTTCCTTCATTGATATGACTTTTGCCAGTACCATATGCTGGAAAAACAGCCTCACACCATGATGTTCCCACCTCCAAACTTCACTGTTGGTATGGTGGTTTTGGCGTGATGTGCAGTGCCATTTGACCTCCAAACATGGTGTGTATTATGGCATCCAAAGAGTTCAATTTTGGTACCATGTGATCAGACTATATTCTCCCAGTATTTCACAGGCTTGTCTAAATGTTGTGCAGCAAACTTTAATCGAGCTTCAACGTGCTTTATCGCCAGCAATGAAGTGTTGCATGGTGAGCTTGCATACAGGCCATGGAGGTCAAGTGCTTTACTTATTGTTATCTTTGAAACAATTGTACCTAATTATAGGTATTTCTGAAGCTCTTCACAAGTGTCCTTTGGTTCTTGGACAACTCTTCTGATAATTCTTTTCACTCCTCTGTCAGAAATCTTGTGGGGAGCACCTAGTCATTGCCGGTTTATGGTGAAATTATGTTCTTTCCACTTCCAGATTTTGGCCCCAACAGTGCTCACTGGAACATTCAGAAGTTTAGAAATCCTTCTGTAACCAATACCATCAGTATGTTTTGCAACAATAAGGTTGCAACGGTCTTGAGAGAGCTCTTTGTTTTTACCCATCATGAGATGTTTTATATGTGACACCTTGGTAATGAGACACCTTTTTATGGGCCATCAGTTGAGACTGAACCAGCTGATATTAATTTGTACTGACAAGGGGCAGGATTGCTTTCTAACTACAGATAGATTTCAGCTAGCGTCTTGGCTTTCCATGCCTTTTTGCACCTCCCTTTCTCCATGTGTTCAATACTTTTCCCTGTAATTTTTTATTCCCTGTATAATTCCATTTTTTACACATAACTTAATTTCTGAACGTATTTGTTTTGGTTTCTTTGTATGTATAAATTGCATGGGTTGTTACCAAAATGTGATGAGCATTTCATGTCAATAGCACTTTTAGAAATATATTTACTGAAAAAAATGGTGACTTGTACAATACTTATTTTACCTGCTGTATACACATATACCTGGATGGTGGGCTAAAATAACAATATCTCTTTAAAGATGTTAAAGCAGCTGTCCTTTTAATCTTTGCTTTTCCAAGATAGAATTATTCCCAATCAAGAAATCAACAAGGTTATAAATACTAAAGATTCCACTGTTGATTAATTCTTAAAGTGGAACTTCACTCTCTCAATGAATAATGACTTCTTAATCCTTATGCTGTTAGCCTTAGTAAATAGATAGGAAAGGACTGTATAGCATATTCACTTGTTTTAAACTTTATTTCCATTTCTTCAGTTACTTCCTGGTTTCCATGCCTAGGCAACTGAGGCCATACATCCCAGGAGTCTTCCAGAGGGGAAGAACGGTTTTCGCAGCTAAGCACACCCTCCTGCCTGCATGTCTGAGATAAGGGCAGATGGAATCCAGGAAGTAAATGATACATCACTTATCTGCCCCTACACAAGATGGCCACGACCAGAAATGTTAGGGGGGTGTTTTTCAAAGTGACTTCTCGGCATGAAAAAGCATGGATGGATGGGCGAGTTTGCGTCGAATAATAAAAATGAATTAAATAGCATTCTTGGCTTGTGGTGCCTAGATGCAGTGTAGTTCCGCTTTAAAAGAAACAGTTTCTGGGTGATCCTAATTTTGTCCTCACTAGTTAGTGAATCACTGAGCTGCAATCAGCATGCAACCAGGCTGAAAATTGGGAAGTCCTCTCTTGCATAAGTATGCAAATTTCTAAAAAAAAAAAAAAAAATCAGTCAAGAATGATAACTCCAGTAATCCTATCCCCACAGATTTCTTTATTAGGGGCACCCAGCAGCTTCAAACCACGGATACTAGTATGCAACTTTGACTCCAGCTCCTAAAGCTGAGGCCTGTCCTGTCCTGTCTTGTGGTTCCCAACAGGTCAGGCCCATCGCAGCTACGGACCAAAACTGAAGTTGGCAGCAGGCCTTAACTCAGCTTAAAGTGATTGTAAATCCTTAAGGATTTTTACCTTCATGCATTCTGTGCACAAAAATAAAAAACCTTCAGTGTGCAGCTCCCCCCATACTTACCTGAGCCAGTAAGGAGGGAGTGGGTGTGGGGCAAAGCCCTGTTATGTGTGTCATATGGACACAAAGAGCAGGGCTTGGGAGCAAGCACGCAAGAGTGCACCCATAGCAAGCAGCTTGCTATAGGGGCACTCGGCAGGGGAGAAGGAGCCCAGAGTGCTGGCGGGGGACCCAATAAGAAGAGGATTAAGGCTACTCTGGGCAAAACTGGTGCACAGAGCAGGTAAGTATAGCATGTTTGTTATTTTAAAAAAAATTAATCCTCTAGTATAATTTTAAGAACTGCATAACTCCAGATATCACAGTTCCTAAGGTGCTCTGCAAGGTAACAATGTACCAGCAGACCTGCCTTTTGGTTTGTGGCTACTTCATGCTGAACAACATGAACAATATGTTGCCCAAAGCATAAGCAAATAAAATAGATTATATCTGCAAAAAGGGGCTAACAGGCTGTGGAGTTAGAAAACACGTTCTTGTACTAAAGAGCAACACAAACAGGCTCCATAGAGAACAATCGATTTTTTGAGTTTGAGCGTTTTTGGAGCTTTGAGCTTCAAGCAACAAAAGCTCAAGTGTGAATGAAGCCTCAAAGAGAAAGTTTTGACAGCATACAAGGAAGCACAATGGGGGGTGATTTATTAAAACTGGAGAGTGCAAAATCTGGCACAGTTGTGTATGGCAGCCAATCAGCTTCTAACTTCTGCCTGTTTAATTAAGCTTTGGCAAATAAAAACTGGAAGCTGATTTGTTTCAATGCAGAGCTGCACTACATTTTGCACTATGCAGTTTTAGTAAATAACACCCAGTGTCTAATTTATATTGTTTTAATGCATCTCCTGCAAATTCATCACTGTTCACTCTGCAGAAGAGGTAAAGTCAGATGCCCTTTGTGCCCATAACACAAGATACCAGTGACAGATTCAATGTACTTGTTAAATAATCCATGAACTTCAGTGTTCCATCTGTTATGGCAGTATTTCCCAGCCTCATTCCTCAAGTACCCATTGGGAATTTCACGGTCACTGTCACAAATACCAAGCCATGGATATTGCACCTGTCATACAAACATAACCTGTTAGTAGGACTTGAGATCTGAGGTTGGGAAATATAGTATTATGGATTAAACATTATGTGGGATTCCTAATTTAACATAGTTCTAAAGGCATAAAGTTTTTTACCTTCAGGCATTCTATATATGAAGGTAAAAAACCTTCTGGCTTCGACCCCCCCTCAGTACCCTCTTATACTTACCTGAGCCACATCTCTATCCAGTGCTATGCATGAGAGCCACAGCTCTCCCGTATCTCTCTCTCCTCATTGGTTCACACAGCAGCGGGATCAATTGGTTTCTGCTTTTGTCAATCACAGCCAGTGAGCCAAAGAGGAGAGAGCGAGGGGCGGGGCTGAACTCTGGCTCTGTGTGAGAAAGGACCATGTCCATTTACAGGAGCGCAGCTCGGGAGTGAGCCTGCTCAAGTGCCGCCATATCAAGAGGCTTGCTATTTGGAGCACTCAGAGGGGAGAGGAGCCAGGACCGCCAACAGGCGACCGAAAAATAAGACGCAAAACTATTTTACAGAGCAGGTAAGTATGTTTGTTTTTTTTTTTTTTTAATCCAACCTTTAGAATCACATTAACAATGTTGTATAATTTGAAAAAAACATCCTTATGGATATTTTGGACTTATTATGTTAGGGAAATACTAAGAAGCACTCTTCATGCTTAGACTCCACTTGCTTAGATTTTGCCAGCAATTGCAAGTGCAGATAATATCTAGTAATCAACTGAAATTAGACCTTACATTAGAATAATCTCAAGTCTATGGAGAACCATGTACTGGGGAAGTAACAGATGCCTCCTAGGAAGTTCCTGTCACATATACCAGGAGGCAGACCCAGAATTCTAGGAAGTAAAGGGAGATTGATTCATCTGCCCTTGGTGAAAATAGCCACTGTGAGAAAAAATGGGTAGAAAATAAAGAGTAAAAACCTTCAATTATCTATATGTATCTGTTTGTAGGTTACCATCACTAAACATTTCTAAAGGTGTCTTGTTATGTGTATGTAGCTACAAAAACTAGCCAACAGGGCACTTATACCCCCCTTCCTACCCAGGCCAATTTCCAGCTTTCAGCGCTGTCACACTTTGAAAGACAATTGCGCGGTCATGCAACACTGTACCCATATGGAATTTTTATAATTTTTTTGAGACAGATAGAGCTTTCTTTTGGTGGTATTTAATCACCTCTGGGATTTTTATTTTTTCTTAAACAAACCAAAAACCACTGAAAATTTTGAAAAAATAAAAACCTGTTTTTTCTTAGTTTTTGTTATACAATTTTGTAAATAAGTGATTTTTCACTGATGTGCGCTAATGAGGCTGCAGTGATGGGCACTGATAGGCTGCACTGATGGACACTGATAGGTGGCACTGATGGGCATTGACAGGCATCACTGATGGGCACTGAAAGGCAGCACTGATACAGGACACTGATATATGGCACTGATAGGCGGCACTGACTGGCACTGATGGGTGACATTGAAAGGCAGCTCAGATGGGCACTGATATGTGGCATTGATGTGCACTGGTATGCACTGATATGTGGCATTGATGTGGCACTGATGGGCACGTGGCACTTCTGGGGCCACACTGATCATCAGGGCACACTGATCATATAACATTTTTAAGAATAGCATTAGCTATTACTAACACTTTGTTGACAGATGTAACTTGTGCAGGGCATATAACACAGCTTAAGATATTGGTGCACACAAAGTTATGAACTCACTGGATTTCTGGCAGGGTCAACGGGTATTTTGTGCACCTATTGAAAAGTTATAACAAAACACTTTGAATGGAATATTTGCCAGACCAAAAAGGCAGTGAATAAGAATTTGTTGTTAGGGTTTACATAAAGAGAGTGGTGAGAGACTGGACTGACCCTGTCCAAGCTGTCAACTAGTTGACAAGTGCCAAGTAATTATTGTTTGCAGCAGTGTGGAGCACACAACACAACAAACCTTGGGGACATTAGGCTACAGCAGCAGAGGTTCAAACACAGTCTAAATCCTGATCCCAGAGATCTCTCTATACTTTGCATCATGCAGATGGCCTGTCAGGATCTGGAGCACATAGCCTGTATCCTGCCAAACAAGGTGAACCGAGAGCTATGCGGCACGGTACTTTAGGTTTTAACATCAACCCCTTGATGCCGATGTCACACAAATATGTGGCCTCACAGAACTGGTCTTTTTTCCGTGGGGCCGCATATTTGCATACCTGTCTTTCTGCTGTGAGCATGCCGCACAGCGTGCTCCCAGCACAAAGACCGCGGTCTCACTAAGAGCCCAGGGTCCCGTTTAAAAGATTGGGACCTCCGATTCCGGGTCAAATGATCGCTGTGATAGCTTCTGATTGGCTATCACAGTGATCAGTCCCTGTACAGCCCAGCCCCCTTGTTTTTTTTTTTTTTTTTCTCTATGAATGGAGGAGAGAGATACATTGTATCTCTCTAACTCCTGGCATAGAGAGGGAAAAAAGATAAATAAATATTTAAAAAGAAAATTAAAAAAGAAAAAATACCTAGATCAAGGTTTGATCTAGTTCAGTGCCAGGGTGTTTAGGTCAAGGTCAGGGTCAAAGGTCAGAATTTAAAAAAAAATTGGTGTCGTTTTTTAGGTAAAAAAAAAAAAAAACCCAAAATGTGCAATATTGTTTCTGGGCTGTACTAAGGGTACAAACAAAACATACACATATATGGTATCGCTGTGACCGTCAAAAGCTGGAAAATGTATTTTGGGTTGTTCTTTGATGGTAGATTATGGTAACAAAAAAACACAGCTACATTTAAAAAAATGATTTTTTTTGTTATTTTGGGCCAGTTTTGCTTTGATAATAATAAAAAAACAGAAGATAACTAATACCATTTACCACCAAATGAAAGCCCAATTTGTCCTGAAAAAAAAAAAACAAGGTATAATTCATCTGGATGTACAAAGTAGTTGTGATGATATGTACGGTTTTACTAACACTAACTCAACGTTGCACATTTGTGCTTAGGCATTAAGATTTGTTTTACCCTTAGGCATGAAGGGGTTAAGCAATGTATTTTTGGGAGCTAATGAAATACAGATATAATAAATGTATGAAATACTGTGCTGGAGGTAAAGTAAAAGACAGCATGTGCATCTCTTTTTTATTACCATAAAACCCATGAGTCTTCCACATAAAAAATGATCAACATGGAAATCATTGCCTCCATAAGAACTCCTCTATTTTTTCATTGTCTGGTATCCTCTCCGTGCTTCAGCCAGATAGTGATGTTGAAAGTAGTCTTCCTCTCATTTTGCTAGCATCTATAGCTTCCCCAGAGAACTACTCTTCCCATCATTCCATGCAACATAGGTGAGAAACAAGCTAGTCGGAGAAAGGAGTGGGCGGGACATAAGCTTATCAAACACATAAGGAGCAGATGAGCCTTAGGCATATCCTAAAAGTTGATAAACATGCTATGGCTAAACCTCCATTACAGCCACGCCCTCTGCAATGTTACAGCACAGTCCTGTATGCCAATCTGGAACAGTGCAATGCAGAGTCTAACAATGCAGCAATTTGGATAGAAGGGGAACTGTGTTGTCACCTGAACAGTGGACCTGTATGCCCTCAGCTACCAGGATGCCTTGGAAATTTTTCACAATACTTGCTGTGTAATAAAACACGATATGTTTTAGATATAACAGCTTTACTGAATATTGGATTTCAGTTTTTGACCATAGTTCCATTTTAAAACATTTAAATCAAATTTAACAAAAACCCTTAAAGTGGAGTTCCAGTCAGCAGCTACAAAAACTGTAGCTGCTGACTTTTAAAAAAAAAAAAAAAAAAAAGCCACTCACCTGCCCCACGATCCCGCGGAGCCATTTTACAGGCCGTCCCGTATTCCAGGCGCTGGCATCTTTAGTGTGGGCACCCGGCTGTGACAGCTTGCGGCTTCACAGCTGGGTGCCCACTGCGCATGCGCAAGTAGTGCTGCGCTTCCTGAAAGGCCCCGTCGTCTTTTGGGACCTGTCATGTGTCCCACAAGACTACGGTAATGGAGGGTAGGAGGGCAACTTCCGCTTCCGATGGCATAGTCAATCGCAGCGGAAGTGGGAGCGAGTACCTGTCCATTTCGGGTACCCGCTCCGCAAAGGTGCCAATCTTTAAAGCGGAACTTCCCCTTTTGGATGGAACTCCGCTTTAATTCCATTCCAAAACAGAGTCTTAAACTAATCAAACCCCTGAACCAGTGCTGCTTAACCAGTTCCTGCCTGGCAGGACATTCACCGTTCTGGGCAGATGTCATATGGCATCCTCCTGAATTGCTCCTCGGTCCGGTGGACACAGCAGATGACTGATCGGTGTACCAGCCGCTGCCAATACCATGTGATTGCTGTGACCAATTACAGCAGACCACATGACAAATGTACACAATGGATAGTTTTCATTCATACCATCCATTGTTTAGTATTGTGTTGATCTTTGTGATTGGAAATTCTGAAGGGCCCTCTGCACACTGGTACATATCCTTTCAAGCAGACTTTGCAATAAATAGGGATATTTAGTTCACTGCTTGAAAGGGTATGTACCAGTGTGCAGAGGGCCCTTCAGAATTTCTAGTGTTAATATGTGGTTGCACCCCTTTAGCACAAACAAGATATACCTGATGGATAAATGCATGCACTAGCTGTTGGGATTTGAGCACAGGTATATCTTGTTTGTTTGATCTTTGTGATTGGTCACAGTGATCATAAGATATACAGTCCTTCTGTACCATTCACAGCTAACACACAACAGTAAATACTGAATTAACCAATTTTATTCGGTAAAAATGGTTGCTTATAACAGTGAAATTTACTGGTATAAGCAATCATGTGTTGAAAAAAATACAGATCACCTCCCCAGAGTAGTACAATGTTACTATGGTAACACTGTATTGCTCTGGTCACAATCTGTTAAAAAAAAATCGTAAAAAAGAAGACTGTCACCAGTCAATGTCCCTGATCAACACCACACTAGTTACATAATGCACTGGTGACAGTATGTAACACAATTACATTTTCCAAAAAATTGTGACAAAAAAATTACAACTTCAAAAAAACTCCCCATGCCTCTTACTAAATACATCAGATTGTCTACTTTCCAAAAGGGGTCATTTGTACTGTCCTGGAGTTTTTATGCCTCATGAAATGAGATTTCCAGAAATATATACCATAGTTTGAGGATGCCATAACTAGTCTACAGACTAAATAATAAACACGGATTTAGGTTATATTTACCAAAAAATGTAGCAGAATACAGTTTGGCCTTAATTTTTTGAGGAAAGATTATTTTTTCTTTGCAATAATTTTGTTTATTCAGCAAAAAAAAATTAAAAACCCAGTGGTTATTAAATACCACCAAAAGAAAGATCTGTGTGAAAAAAAATTATAAAAATTTCATAAGGGTACAGTGTTGCATGCAATTGTCAAAGTACGGCAGTGCTGAAAGCTGGAAATTGGCATGGGCAGGAAGGGGGTGAAAGTGCTCAGTATTAATGCAATTAAACTATGGGCCAGGACCAAAAATGGATCATGGATGAGCTTGTGATAGGTCACCACTTGACCGTGTAGCCTAGTTAGTCTAAGCCCCGGATCACACCGGTGTGGCTTGTTATGCAATTCTGAAGTTCCAAATCACATCCCATTGTCGGCAATGGAACCGGTCAACTTGGTGGGACTCCGACTTTGAAAATAGTTCCAGCACTATTTTCGCCGATTTCAGGTGTGACTTGCATAGACATTATTATACAATATTTATATAGCGCCAACGGTTTGCTCAGCGCTGTACATTACAATGGGAGACAGTACACGAGACAGTACAGTAACAATACAATTCGATACACGAGGGGTTCGAGGGCCCTGCTCCTTGGAGCTTACAATCTAGGAGGGAGGGGATAGTGGTACAGGAGGAAATAGCTGTGGGGGATGGAGTGGTAGGAAGAGTGGAGGAGATCGGCAATTAGCTGAGGGCGGGGTAGGCTTCCCTGAAGAGATGGGTCTTCAGGGTGTGTCTAAAGGAGAGGAGGGTAGGTGATAGTCTGATGGATTGGGGTAGGGAGTTCCAGAGGATGGAGGAAGCCCTGGAGAAGTCCTGGAGACGGGCATGCGAGGAGGAGACCAGGGAACTAGATAGTAGGAGGTCTTGTGAGGAGTGGAGAGTACGTTTAGGGTGGTATTTGGATATCAGGTCGGTGATGTAGTTTGGGGCAGTGTTATGGACAGATTTGTACGTCAATGTTAGCATTTTGAATTTTATCCGTTGGGCAATCGGAAGCCAGTGGAGGGACTGACAGGGGGGGGTGGCGGATACGGAGCAGTTAGTAAGGTGGATGAGCCTGGCTGCAGTATTCAGGATAGACTGAAGCGGGGATAGCCTGTGGTGAGGTAAGCTGGTGAGGAGGGAGTTACAGTAGTCGAGTCGTGATATAAGGGAGTGAATGAGTTGCTTAGTAGTTTCTGGGGTTAGGAACAGACGTATTTTGGAGATGTTGCGGAGGTGGAGTCTACATGAGTTTGTCAGTGATTGGACCTGGGGTTGGAAAGACAGGTTGGAGTCTAGGATGACACATAGTACTCTGGCTTGCAGGGTGGGACTGATGGTGGCGTTGTTGGACGTGATGGAGAAGTCAGGGGGGGGCGCGGGCTGAGGGGAAAACTAGGAGCTCGGTTTTTGGAAAGGTTTAATTTGAGGAAGTGGAGTGACATCCAATCCGATATGTCGTTC